ATTGTATAACATTAAAAACAAAAAAACCCTAAATTCCTAAAATCGAGCTCTAAATTTTTTTTTTTGTTGTTAAAAAATCGTTCTTTTATTTATTGCAATAAATAATACTAGTCAAATATTGGCTGAAAAATCCTAAAAAAGCTGCAAAATTAAGAAAAAAATTTAAAAAATTTGGGCTCAGGCTTACCTTGACTGCTTCAATCTCAAAATCGAGTCCCAAATCTCTCCATTTCAATGAAATCAGGAGTCTTGAAATATATGTATCTCTGTGATAATTAAAATCCCCTACTTTTTATCGAAAGAAATTGGAAAACTAGGCCAAAATCAAATGAATGGCGGATTTTTTATAAAAAACTGAAGAACACCAAAAAACGCACCAAAAATTCACCAAAATCGATCTAATCTTGGAGTTTTTGATTCAATATTGATGGATTTATAAAAGATTTGAAGGTATAGTATAATAATTGAGCAAAAAAATAGCAAAAATATGGCAAAAAAAAACATAAAAAAGTTGCAAAAAATGGCGGATCGTAGGTTCTGCCCAAATAACGGGCACTGTTGCAAAAAACGGCCTTTGTCAAAAAGTTGTCGGTTCGAGGCCAAACCAACCGATTGTTTAGCCGATTTCTTTCAAGATGTGTTTTTTACTAGTACACTAAAACCGGACTTAATCGAAATCGCCACTCCACCGGTAGCAAGCTAATCGGCCGGTTTTTCGAACACTGAACATTGGTTGCAACCTTATAGAAACCACACCCTAAATTGTATTAAACAAATAGTAGGAGTTAATTTATGTTATTGACTTAAAATAAATCAAAATCTGAAAGAAATGGAGACTATTGAGTAAAATAGATACAAGAAAAAGTATGAAAACCTTGAAAGTTTACAAAAATGAATCATATTTTATTTAATAAAACAAAACCAATTTTAGAAATTTAAATAAAAAAAGTGAAACGTACCCATATTTTGCGGCCGATGCATCTTCGATCTCAGCACAAATTGATGTCTCCAATCCCTCGTTATTTGTCCCAAATCAAAACCCAAAGAACCAAAATTTGGATTTTTTTTTTTTTAAAGTTTGAATGGAGTTTTTGAGCTTTCAAAAAATGCAAATGAATTGAACATCCAAATTTCAATCCCATTTTTCTTGTTTTGTTTGTGAAAATCATGCATGTGGTTGGATCAAAAGCAAAAAATATACATGCTTAGGGAATCAAGTTTCATCTAATATTGACCATTGATCACAAAAAAATCATTTCTTTTCAATTCAGGAAACCCGTTAAATCTATTTTTTTCCCCGTAAATCAAGGTTTTCAATAGATTTATCGGGCAAAATCTAAGAACTAAATTTGGGTGTTTTAGGTCTAAGACGGGTGAGTACCTTAAATTTTCTTTTAACCCGTCTCAAGCCTGAATAAAGGCGGTAGATTATATAAATAGACAAATAATATAAAACTTTACCAAAACTTTTCATGATGAACTTGTAGAGTACTTTGACGAGTTAGTGACTCGATCGATCGAGCATCATTCAAATTCAGGAGAATCAAGCTAAGTTGTACTCCGGAAAGCTTGTACAGTACTTGCTTGTGTATTGTATAAGCCACTACAAGCTTGGCAAACCACGGACCTTTAGTTACTCGTTCGAGTGAGTCATGTCCAGGTAGTTTTCAAACTCTCTGAGCCTCTGCATGACAAGGTGCGCATGATACATGCCTGTATGGTACACCACAATCCATCTTCTGTATTATTATTATTGAAGGGCAACGGGGATCCATCTTAGTGGGCTGGCAATGGCCTGGGCGGGCGGCCCAGCACGGTAAGCCCTAAAACACTAGGACCTAGGCCACAAAATACGGCACTGAGGTTAGGTTGGGCTGAGCTACACCAGGGCTGCTCCAGCCTTCGTTTCCTTATTTATTCTTTCATTTGTTCTTTAATTGTATTTGTCCCAGTTTGACGTGATAGTGCCATGGCTGGGCTTGGGCTTGGTCCAGGCAGGGCCAGTGGCCTAGTCCAAGCCGGGCCTGGGCTAGCCTTTGGAGACAAGGGCTTGCCCATGGCCAGGGCTGGCCCGTTGCAAAACCTACATCTCACTTCCATGTACATACACACACTTTTGGTGCTTATATACTCACTATTCCAAAAATATTAAATTGGGAATTATTAAAATACATTTTAGATTTAAACGCATATATTATGCTCCAGCAGGAGTTGCTCCCTACAGTAAAAATTGCACTTGGAAATGTTTTTGGATGTGAAAATTTGGAATCCATTAAATATCATCAGATAATTATTTTAAAAACAAAAAATCAATAAATTAGATTTTAAGGACTTCAACTTATACGTTGATGTCTAAACATAGATGGTGCTCATTCAATTTTAAATCGTTATTTTTTAGGCTGATAGAATTTGTGTTTAAATTCTCTCTCTCTCTCTTTTTTTTGTTTTCTTCTTCTTCTTCGTCTTTTCTTTTTTTTTTTTTTTCTTTTTCTTTTTTTTTTGTGAGTTGGTCTCTAAGTCATGGAGGATAAATTCCCAAAAATTGGGATCCTAAAAATATGCTAGCTTGATTTTTGTTTGAGGGAATAAATGAACAGCTCAAGAGCACAAAATCATTTGCCTTTGGATATTACTAAAGCCAAAAGATTTCATGCTCCTACAAAAGCATACTGTCCATTTACTCGGGTAAAACCCAATACCCAAATCTTCGATATGTAGCCGTTTCAACTCATAGACTAACATCGATAAATTAAATTTTCAAATATAACACTCTCTATACACTTGAAAAGAATAATATCTCAAGATTAAATAAAGACCGTCTAATTTTTTTTGACAATGAGATATAGGTCTTAGAAAACTTAAAATTGAACATTATCGTTTGAAAATCGTCATGCAGTGAATTTATGAGGATCCCAAATTTTCTTTTCCAAAAAGTACTCTTAGGTAGGTCATCTAGCTGAGGGAGTAGATATACAGAATATACTCCAGAGGTAGCACAGTCTATTTAATATTTTAAGCTCATCAAAAGATTTCATGCTTTCAAGGGAGCATATTGTCCATTTACTCCTTCAGGCAAAACCCAAATTGGGATTATATTTAGGACCCCGAATTTTGGGATGTAACATCGTCAATCCATATACCATTCTCAATCAAAAAAATTCACAAATTGCAAATTTTTACGGTCTTGAAAATGATAATTCCTCAAGATTGAATAGAAACCGTCCAACTTTTTAAAGGGTAAGATATAAAATATTAGAAAACTAAAATTCCAAATTTTCTTTTGAATATATTCATCTATTAATTTTTTAGGTGGTTCACAAAATGCTGGGTCATAAAAATCTTCCCAAGTCAGTCTTCTATCTGAGGGAGTAAATATACATTATGCTTTTGCTGAAGTATATACGCTTCTCATTTTATTTTTATTTTTCTCAAAAGCTCATCAAAATATACACAATTTTAAGTTAGAACAGCAAAATAAAAGAAACATGATATGTATTTAAAAATTAAAACACATATTGATACATGGGTGCAGTTTGTATAGAGCCTAAGCTCTAAACAATCAAATTATATCCTACCTTCAAATAGTATTGAGAAATGTGGTTTCAATACTGAAAATCTTTGTGGTAGCCTTAAAATATATTTTCTATATTTTCATCTTTATTTATAAAGTTTAAAGCTTAAAAAATAGAGTAGATCGAAAGATATATGAAAACTTGAAAATTGACGGTCTAAAAATGCGTTACAAAATATACTATTTTCAAAACTTGAAATCTATTTTTTCTCATGTCCATACATTA